TAGTTTGAAGGTGAAATTGAATTTGAAATGTTTCAATTTAAAAAGAAATTCTATTAGATATGTAACTATCTAATATACTTTGACATTACCTGTTTTGAAGTAAACGACCAGTGGTAGAGAAATATTAAATATTGCTGATGTCAGCATGTTATTAGAAAGATAAATAACATATTTTATTTAATATAGCATATTTGTTTTGTATTTCAAGTTTTGAAAATATAGATTTTGTCACAACCAAGCAATATTTTAAGAATCAATTCATTTTGTTTTATTAATTCGAACTCTATAAAGTACTTTCCTCGAGTGCTAAATATATGAAATATGTATTATTTCCTTTGTTCAGGCGAATAAGTAATAAACTTTCAATAACCAAAATAAAACATTGAAAGGACAGTTCACAATTAAATAACAGCTTAGTAACTGATAGCAGTATATAGCAGTGTTATCTGTAGGATTTAGGATCCATATTTATCATGTTTATAGTGGCAGCCACGTAGTGAGATATGCATGTCACGACATCAGCATTCAGCCACAACACAGGTTTAGGAGATACACATGTAGCATGATGTTCTATTAATAGCTATGACAAATTCAAGGTTCCCGGTGGCCAAACAATGCTGTCTGATTGGCTGAGTGTTGTGAGTTACCTGTAGGAGTCGTTTGAGGTATTTGAGTTGAGTTTGGCTGTGTGGGACATCACCAGCTGGGTGTGACCTGGATTGCTAAGTTGTGTCTCTTGGCGAGGGGCCTCTTATCTGTTATATGTAGGTAGGTAATCAGTGTGTAGTTCACTTTGTACCTGGTGTTACCATACTCAATGTTGACTTGTGTAGTATTCGTTGTTGGTGTAGTTGTTGTTTTATCTGAAAAATATAGTAATGCTTTACTTAATATGTCTATGTTATGATGGATGAGGCGTTTATAGTAGTTGACGGTGTGTATGCTTATTTTGCTATTGACTTTACATGAACTTTGAAGTACTTTAGTTGTTATTATATGGGATATATTGCAGAAGAATGTATGAGGACACTTGCAGCAGCAGCTCCGTGTTATCAATCACCTGCTATATATACGTGATATAGTGAAGTCTGGATTTACTGTGTGACACCTGATCAGTCTGCTTTGCTGGGAGGGACTTTGAGAGGCTGTCAAATAAAACAGGAACATTATGTTAGTTCCATTTGTCTAACCGTCCCAAACAATTTCATCTCCCAGCCATCACACAACTTCAACCATGGTACCAGCATCATGTTGTATGTTATTAGAAGGACATCATAAGCTGTAGCAGGATCACAAGGGGTACAATGGGTTTTATGCGTCCCTTATTAGGTTTTATACCACGAGCCAGAGGATGCATAAGACCCCATTAGTAATCCTGCTACAACAAATTATCTTACCCACATGTTTGAATGTGACATTGTAAAAGAATTAACACAAATTCAATATGGATAGAAAACACTGTTTGATTGAGCTGAGGTTAACTTGTGCTATGTCACGTGACTTCCATTGACTCGGAAAAAGCGTGCAGTTTTGACCTTGACAAGCAAGGTGACTAGGGTTCCAGGGTTACATCACAGCTAAGTTCTATATTTGTCATTCTAAGAGTTTTTATTGTGTAACTTTTAATTAACATGGCTAATATTAATCATGTTAATACTTGGTCATTCCACCTAGGATTGGTTACATTATCAAGTTGCGTGATGATGCCATCACAGTCAAGGGATTTTATCTACCGATGTTTACAGGGATCATTCTAGAATCGGTCCTGTATATTTGATTCCAAGCTTTAATTAGGATTTGACTTTATGCTGACTTATAACTTTTTGACAGCTCTTGGAAGTGTGACCATGTACAAGATTTTCCAGTTCAGTGAATAATTAATAAACTTGTTATTGAACTTTACCTGCTTGTTGTGTGGTCCTTCTGCATTTCACTAGTTTCTACATTCGTAACTTTGAAGATCCTTGTGATATATTTTCTCTAAACCTCATCTCCAAGCTCTGGTATTTATTTGATCACATTTTGTGACTGGTGGCAGAATCCATGTATTTTAGTAGTTTGCCCATGAGTAATTATCTACGAGTCTTTGGCTGTTCTGTTACAGTATGGTAGCACAGCCTCATTCAGAAAACGTGGGTACAATGTCTTAAGCCCTCTCTTTCTACAAACTTGTTAGAACAATTATAAACTGATTCACCCACAAGACAGCACTTAGAAAGGATACTACTAGCCCATCCACCTTGTTAGAAAAAATCATGGGGAGTACAGAGCTGAAAACATGGAAATTGAACACTGAACTCAGTGTGAACTGATTTTATATACAAAGAATGAATAACATGGTAAATGGAGCTATCTGTCCAATGTTGGAAAAGTAAGTAAAAGATCACTAAATAAACATGATAAACAGTTCTTTGTTAAGCCAAGGGCACTGCTCATAAGGGCCGGTTGCACCTCTAACAGTTGAAAGGATAGAAAGAAACAAAGGGAACTGTGTTATAACTGTTATACTTATAATAATAGATATAACTGTATTTGTTTCCATGACTACATGGCCAATGAACAAAAATTCTTTACTTATTTGATCAGCTAACTGTAAGGTCACACCTTAAGTATATCATCCCAAGTAATAAGACCAAATGTTTTTTCATGGTAGTAAACATTTTCTAAGTGGTTGTGTTAGGTTACCTATTCATTTCACAAGATTTACAAATTCAAAGAAAGGATTTTTAATTTCTATGATCCAGGAAGCCATGAGATACAAGATTTATATTTGCTCTGCCTCTCTGCAAAATTTGTGTGTATTAGGTTAGCCAAGGAAACAACATTCATAATACAGCTGCAGTGAAATATTCATATACTAGTAATGGTAATGTAAAACCAGCCTATGTTTTTGCACAACAACTGGAAGGGTGTGTATTTTTACCACTGAGTACATTAACTGGTGAATACAAGCGCTCAAGTACTGTTATCTGCAGCCAGACATGGCATGAATATTTCATACAAGGATCAAATAATTACTTTGTGTCTAATAATGGTATCTCAAATTTTCCCTTGAAGCATGCCTAGCGGTTCTGCTTGAGTGAGATTTATGACGTCAGGTCACATGACAATTTATTATTCATCAGTTTAGATAAAAGAAGATGCTTAATGTTTAATAACTTCGTTCACTTGCTCTAGTACCTTGGTCGCCACGATTCATTATCGCCTGTCCAATTGTAACGGAATCTTTGATTGGTTCATAAATCTCCATGTTGTTCATGCAGTGTGTCGAGGCATTAGGGCTTGTCAGGGCACGCAATTGATCCCATCGTCGTGACGACAGTGATGCTAGTGTCTGATTCTAGACAAGTGAGAGGGTTCGGAACACGATAATGCCATCACAGGTGAATTTGTCTAGGCAGGTGAGGAAGCGCACAGGAGAAAATAATCAATTTTTTCGAAGTGGTTTATCAATACTGTATTTCTTCCTTGCCTAAAAAGACAAGGGACTTGGCCTCAGGGCCTACAAAATGAACATTCTCAAACATTTGGCTAAAAGCTTTGTCAGTGTGATTGATGAGAAGGTATGAAATGAACAAATTGTTAATCGATGTATTGACTTTTTGTACAACAAGGCCTGAATGAACCACTGCACAACATAGCCTAAAATGGTCTAAGATTTGTTTTTTGATTGCAATAAGCATGATAAGACAGAGGACATGATCCGTACATGGGAGACCAGGGCCAGGTAATTAGGTGGAAAGGAAGGAACTATATTCCCAGGATACGGAAGGGAAAAGCCAAGTGTTTATATTTGGAATAAACATGCAGCACTTCTTGTTATGCCCTTAATTTAGAATGACTTTTTTAAAAGGTTGGTAGGCCACAATATAATAATTATCAGATTTTCGTCCAATTTTGTCACAAATCAGCCTGGACTGTTGGAGGCATTTTATTTTACATTTTTGAACTGTTTAAGTCATCTGTGTACCTTTATTATCTGTTGCAGATGCTATTCATGTGAGGCGTGAATGTTTGGTAGGACTGTGCAGTGTGTAGAGAAAGGCGTAGAGAAAGGCGTAGAGAAAGGCGTAGGGAAAGGTGTAGAGAAAGGCGTAGAGAAAGGAGTAGAGAATGGAGTAGAGAAAGGCGTAGGGAATGGAGTAGAGAAAGGCGTAGGGAATGGAGTAGAGAAAGGCGTAGGGAATGGAGTAGAGAAAGGTGCAGAGAAAGGAGTAGAGAAAGGAGTAGGGAAGGGTTTAGAGAAAGGCGTAGAGAATGACATAGAGAATGGAGAAGAGAAGGGCGTAGAAAATGGAGAAGAGAAAGGTGTAGAGAAAGGCGTAGAGAATGGAGAAGAGAGAGGTGTAGAGAATGGAGTAGAGAAAGGTGTAGAGAAAGGTGTAGAGAAAGGCGTAGAGAATGGAGAAGAGAGAGGTGTAGAGAATGGAGTAGAGAAAGGTGTAGAGAAAGGTGTAGAGAAAGGCGTAGAGAAAGGCATAGAGAATGGAGAAGAGAGAGGTGTAGAGAATGGAGTAGAGAAAGGCGTAGATAATGGAGTAGAGAAAGGTGTAGAGAAACGCGTAGAGAAAGGCGTAGAGAATGGAGAAGAGAGAGGTGTAGAGAATGGAGTAGAGAAAGGCGTAGAGAATGGAGTAGAGAAAGGTGTAGAGAAAGGCGTAGAGAAAGGCATAGAGAAAGGCGTAGAGAATGGAGAAGAGAAAGGTGTAGAAAAAGGCGTAGAGAATGGAGTAGAGAAAGGCATAGAGAAAGGTGTAGAGAAAGGTGTAGAGAAAGGCGTAGAGAATGGAGTAGAGAGAGGTGTAGAGAAAGGCGTAGGGAATGGAGTAGAGAGAGGTGTAGAGAAAGGCATAGAGAATGGAGTAGAGAAAGGCATAGAGAAAGGCGTTGAGAAAGGAGGCACCACATGTAGGTACTTGGTTGAAACTCAATGATGTGTGGTGATGGATGGTTAATAGTGTTGGGGGATGAATGTAATTAATTACAATTAATAGGCATTTTCAAAACTTTATCAGCTGCTGTTGGAAGAGCTGTGCAAAAATCATGAAACAATGAAAATGTGAAACAGAATTTTTGAAACAATGAATAAATGAAACAATAAAAAAATAAGAAACAAAGAATAAACGAAACAATGAATGTATGAAACAATGTGTTTTGCTCATTGTGTTTGGGATCTCTAAGTAAGAATGGTCTTATTTTGAGCATGTTAAAATTTACCACCCAAATGTCCATTTAGCAAAAGAAGTTTGCAATTCAAAGGAAGTCACCAAAAGAACAGTTTGTTCTTTCTTGATTAATGCCCTCAACTGTGAGTGCATAATGTCTTTATATGTCTTTATATTGTCTGGTTGTTAAGTCTGCTCTTTGATTATTGATCTTAAGTACCTATAAGATTCGTATTAATTAGAAAACGACAGCTGTATGTCTAATTCTGGAAACATAGTTGTATTTTTATCCAGGATGCGTGGGTTGTATCAGTTGTATGGAGGGAGTGGGCACTGAGCAAGGGGACCCGGCTGATCAATATATCCTCCTTTATGATACCCCCCTGTAAGCCAGGTCTGCTACGCATGACTGGCCAGCTTTGTGAGCCTTGTTTTCAATCTTCAAAGAAGTGATGCTGACAGGACAAATGAATTGAAGTGGCGCCCTTTGTTGATCTTATCAGGAACGTATTGTGTTATGACAATGTCATTAGTGTGTATCATATATACATACTGATGTCCTTGTCCAGTTCTAGACATTTTACCATTGTTTACTTAAACAATGTGTCAGTTTAGTTTCAGTTATGTGGAATTTGGATAATTTTGTATGATATTAAAAGATGCACAATTGCTTTTTCCTCCATTCTTCAGTGAAAGAGACTTCATTCACTGTTATTTTACCCATAAAAAATGGATATTGATTAATGGTAGGACAGGCTAATCAGATGTCTAGACAATCACTGACAATTTGAAAATGGATGTGAATGCTTAATTGTCATTTGGGCTTCAATTATTATGAGTCCTGGAGTTTTATATTTGATCAACCTATTGCTAGTCCTACATCACAGAAGAGATCACCAAAGGACAAGCTTGGATGGCGTTCCTTTTTGATCCACTCGTAGGATAAAAGTTACAGAAACTTTGAAATGTAAATTATCAGACATGTTTAATATGGCTCAGAGAACTAGCCTTTTTCTTTCCTACACTAGTTAATGTTTGACTTCTGTCATGTTCAATTACACACAAATGGCAAAAAATGAGTTCTGGGTACAGCTGTGTTTTGGGTTCATCTTTGTTCTGGGTACATCTGTGTTATGGGTTGGTATGCATTGTGGGTACATCTGCGTTTCTGGGTACATATGCATGCTGGTGGATCTGTGTTTTGGGTACAACTGTTTCTAGGTACATATATGTGTTCTGGGTACAACTGTTTCTGGGTACATATGCATGCTGGTGGATCTGTGTTTTGGGTACAACTGTTTCTAGGTACATATATGTGTTCTGGGTACAACTGTTTCTGGGTACATATGTGTTCTGGGTACAACTGTTTCTGGGTACATATGTGTTCTGGGTACAACTGTTTCTGGATACATATGCATGCTGGTGGATCTGTGTTTTGGGTACAACTGTTTCTAGGTACATATATGTGTTCTGGGTACATCTGTTTCTGGGTACATATGTGTTCTGGGTACAACTGTTTCTGGGTACATATGTGTTCTGGGTACATATGCATGCTGGTAGATCTGTGTTTTGGGTACAACTGTTTCTAGGTACATATATGTGTTCTGGGTACAACTGTTTCTAGGTACATATGTGTTCTGGGTACAACTGTTTCTGGGTACATATGTGTTCTGGGTACAACTGTTTCTAGGTACATATATGTGTTCTGGGTACAACTGTTTCTGGGTACATATGTGTTCTGGGTACAACTGTTTCTGGGTACATATGTGTTCTGGGTACAACTGTTTCTGGGTACATATGCATGCTGGTAGATCTGTGTTTTGGGTACAACTGTTTCTAGGTACATATATGTGTTCTGGGTACAACTGTTTCTGGGTACATATGTGTTCTGGGTACAACTGTTTCTGGGTACATATGTGTTCTGGGTACAACTGTTTCTAGGTACATATATGTGTTCTGGGTACAACTGTTTCTGGGTACATATGTGTTCTGGGTACAACTGTTTCTGGGTACATATGTGATCTGGGTACAACTGTTTCTAGGTACATATATGTGTTCTGGGTACAACTGTTTCTGGGTACATATGTGTTCTGGGTACAACTGTTTCTGGGTACATATGTGTTCTGGGTACAACTGTTTCTGGATACATATGCATGCTGGTGGATCTGTGTTTTGGGTACAACTGTTTCTAGGTACATATATGTGTTCTGGGTACATCTGTTTCTGGGTACATATGTGTTCTGGGTACAACTGTTTCTGGGTACATATGTGTTCTGGGTACATATGCATGCTGGTACATATGTGTTCTGGGTACAACTGTTTCTAGGTACATATATGTGTTCTGGGTACAACTGTTTCTGGGTACATATGTGTTCTGGGTACAACTGTTTCTGGGTACATATGTGTTCTGGGTACAACTGTTTCTAGGTACATATATGTGTTCTGGGTACAACTGTTTCTGGGTACATATGTGTTCTGGGTACAACTGTTTGTGGGTACATATGTGTTCTGGGTACAACTGTTTCTGGGTACATATGCATGCTGGTAGATCTGTGTTTTGGGTACAACTGTTTCTAGGTACATATATGTGTTCTGGGTACAACTGTTTCTGGGTACATATGTGTTCTGGGTACAACTGTTTCTTGGTACATATGTGTTCTGGGTACAACTGTTTCTAGGTACATATATGTGTTCTGGGTACAACTGTTTCTGGGTACATATGTGTTCTGGGTACAACTGTTTGTGGGTACATATGTGATCTGGGTACAACTGTTTCTAGGTACATATATGTGTTCTGGGTACAACTGTTTCTGGGTACATATGTGTTCTAGATACAACTGTTTCTGGGTACATATGTGTTCTGGGTACAACTGTTCTTTGTATATATGTGTTCTGGGTACAACTGTGTCTAGGTACATATGTGTTTTGGGTACAACTGTTTCTAGATATAACTGTTTCTGGGTACATATGTGTTCTGGGTACAACTGTTTCTTGGTACATATGTGTTCTGGGTACAACTGTTTCTAGGTACATATGTGTTCTGGGTACAACTTTCTGGGTACATATGTGTTCTGGGTACAACTGTTTCTGGGTACATATGTGTTCTGGGTACCATTGTTTCTGGGTACATATGTGTTCTGGGTACAACTGTTTCTGGGTACATATGTGTTCTAGATACAACTGTTCCTGGGTACATATGTGTTCTGGGTACAACTGTTTCCAGGTACATATGTGTTCTGGGTACAACTGTGTCTAGGTACATATGTGTTCTGGGTACAACTGTTTCTGGGTACAACTGTTTCTGGGTACATATGTGTTCTGGGTACAACTGTTTCTTGGTACATATGTGTTCTGGGTACAACTGTTTCTAGGTACATATGTGTTCTGGGTACAACTTTCTGGGTACATATGTGTTCTGGGTACAACTGTTTCTGGGTACATATGTGTTCTGGGTACAACTGTTTGTGGGTACATATGTGTTCTGGGTACAACTGTTTCTGGGTACGTATGTGTTCTGGGTACGTATGTGTTCTGGGTACAACTGTTTCTGGGTACATATGTGTTCTAGATACAACTGTTTCTAGGTACATATGTGTTCTGGGTACAACTGTTCTTTGTATATATGTGTTCTGGGTACAACTGTGTCTAGTTACATATGTGTTCTGGGTACAACTGTTTCTAGATACAACTGTTTCTGGGTACATATGTGTTCTGGGTACAACTGTTTCTAGGTACATATGTGTTCTGGGTACAACTGTTTCTAGGTACATATGTGTTCTGGGTACAACTTTCTGGGTACATATGTGTTCTGGGTACAACTGTTTCTGGGTACATATGTGTTCTAGATACAACTGTTTCTTGGTACATATGTGTTTTGGGTACAACTGTTTCTAGGTACATATGTGTTCTGGGTACAACTGTGTCTAGGTACATATGTGTTCTGGGTACAACTGTTTCTAGATACAACTGTTTCTGGGTACATATGTGTTCTGGGTACAACTGTTTCTTGGTACATATGTGTTCTGGGTACAACTGTTTCTAGGTACATATGTGTTCTGGGTACAACTTTCTGGGTACATATGTGTTCTGGGTACAACTGTTTCTGGGTACATATGTGTTCTGGGTACAACTGTTTCTGGGTACATATGTGTTCTGGGTACAACTGTTTCTGGGTACATATGTGTTCTAGATACAACTGTTCCTGGGTACATATGTGTTCTGGGTACAACTGTTTCTTGGTACATATGTGTTCTGGGTACAACTGTTTCTGGGTACAACTGTTTCTGGGTACATATGTGTTCTGGGTACAACTGTTTCTTGGTACATATGTGTTCTGGGTACAACTGTTTCTAGGTACATATGTGTTCTGGGTACAACTTTCTGGGTACATATGTGTTTTGGGTACAACTGTTTCTGGGAACATATGTGTTCTGGGTACAACTGTTTGTGGGTACATATGTGTTCTGGGTACAACTGTTTGTGGGTACATATGTGTTCTAGATACAACTGTGCCTGGGTACATATGTGTTCTGGGTACAACTGTTTCTAGGTACATATGTGTTCTGGGTACAACTGTTTCTGGGTATGTATGTGTTCTGGGTACATATGTGTTCTGGGTACAACTGTTTCTGGGTACGTATGTGTTCTGGGTACGTATGTGTTCTGGGTACATCTGTGTCTGGGTACATATGTGTTCTGGGTACAACTGTTTCTGGGTACATATGTGTTCTGGGTACAACTGTTACTGGGTACGTATGTGTTCTGGGTACAACTGTTTCTGGGTACATATGTGTTCTGGGTACAACTGTTTCTGGGTACGTATGTGTTCTGGGTACAACTGTTTCTGGGTACGTATGTGATCTGTCACATCTGTGTTCTTGATACCTCTTTATACTCTAGGGAACGTTTCCATCTTTGTAGAGCTGCATCTCATGTAGCTTCCAAAATCTATGTTAGAACTCCTATTGAAGACCTGCTGGAGTGGCTGTTCTGTTTGTATGATGATTGGTCAGAACAGATGCTCATTTCAGCCTTGTTGCTCAAGCCGACTTAGATGAGTATTTGGTGGTTACAATGTGGGTTGTTGTTCTTGCTATCAATCACTGGGTGGCTGACATGATTTTTCTTTTCTATTGGTGACAGATAAAACCTAATATCCTGTACACAGTTACAGCTTCAAAACTGTACCTGACTTGTATGTGGAGCTCTGGCATCTAGACAGTGTCTCTTTACAGGCTAAAACTTAAGCATCCATATGATAAGATAAAGGTCTTTGATAGAACTTGACGTTATGAATATTTTGATACCTAAATATCCAGTTTTGTCAAAACAGGTTTGTTCATAACTCTACATCTATTTCAGGTGGATGATTGTTGGCTCCGTGGTATAGGGTACTGCTTTTTCCGGGGCTGTTTACTTATCGGGGAGATGTATATGCCAGGCTGGTCAAATGAATCCCAGATTTGCCCTGGTTTGAGCTTGTTATACCAGTACTATACCCATGCCTGTGAGTAAGCCTTTTATGACTGTTCTGAAAAATACCCCAAAAATTTATGTAGGACTTGAGTAGAGGTCTGGAAAAAAATTGGTTTTAATGGTGGCTGAAATATTGATAGAAATGAACAATTATTTTTAAATTTCAATCTTATTCATCAGAAGATTATCATTAATCTCAGTGTCCATTTCTGCAAAATACATGACACTCTCAGGATTTCAAAGAAAAAGCAAAGATTTCCAATTTGCATCAAGGCATTGATGAATCTGACCCCATGACCTTGAGGGCATACTTGGCGTTGACTGTCGCCTCATGGCAATTTTCAGGCCATCAAATTAGTCTGATTTTCCTCAGTCCTTTATATCAACATGGAAATGGTTTTCCCATATGCTTTGCATTACGAAACATTGAAGCAATCTTGCTAAGATAATATCATTGTTAACCTGGCCATATTCTCTGCGTACTTTCCTCAGAGAGGATATTGATCATGTCTAAATTAGTTATTATCACATTGTAATCGTCAGTCAATAAACTTGGAGACAGCATGTCGGCTACGAGGCTTAAATGGCAGAACATGAAAGACTGTTGTTTTGTTGGTAATTAAGAGTATATAACCTCCTATTGAAAAAATACCATACCAGTTGAAATAAGATTGATTGGAAAATGTTTCTTGGTATTGCTGGGATGAAGTTGATGTGAAGTGAGATGCTTGCCTCTTATCTTTGTCACATGAAATTAACCATTATTATGTAATGAGTTATCTTTTTGTTCGGGCAATACCAGGTACAATCATGCTTATGATATTGCGTGTGAAACAGCCTGTTGTTGTAACTTTGGGATCTAATTGTTCATGAAAGGATTTGTTAAAGGGGCTTTCGATGCTTTTCGAATTCACTTCCAGTGTTAACTTTGAATTTAACCACACTGTTACACTGGATTATTAAATGTCATGAGTTGGACTTAAGCACAGATTGAAATATTTTTTTTGAAAATGTGATTTATGCATAGTCACTTGAATTTTGTAGTTTTTGGAGTTTTGGTATCTGATTTCTTACTATGAGCCCATGAAGATTCGGATTAGAATTGGTCATCAGCAACCCATACTTGTTATAAGAGGCGAGTCACAGGATCGGGTGGTCAGGCTCACTGACTTGGCTGATACTACCCGGGTGGCCACCTCCCTATTACATGAGCCTACCTGGGTGCCTACTGTGGGTCTCATGAGATAGGTACAACATGTATGATTGGGGACCGTAATGCCAACATTAGTGACTTGTAGTGTAACCATACAGTTTAAGATAATAATTGTCATTAAACAATATATCACGTGACTAACCACTGGTCTGGGTAGTCCTGTGGGTACCCAAGTCTTACTCAGTACCCACCCGACCTGAGTACCCGAGTTACCTGTCCCAGCCCTATGTCATAGTACCCGAAATGCGTATATTACTGAGTGCAGCATTAAACAATGTATGAATGAACAAACAAACAAACAAACAAACAAGTACAGTAAACTTGGTTATAATGAACATGCTTATACGACTGACGGATATAACGAACTTAGTTTTTGGTCCCTGCCATATGTGTATATAAGTTGTATATATGCTTATAAGGAACTCGGTTATGACAAACTAAAATGAGTGGTCCCTTGAGTTCCGTATAATGGTAGTTTACTGTCCATGATGCTTCATATCATTTTGATTTTCAGATCAGTGTGAGTTGCACAATGGTTACAGAAGCACACCAGCAAACATCCCTTTGTTACATGTTTTAGTGCTACAATCTGCTATTTAATTATACACAGGGCTAAATTTGGGGCCTTTTTGCTGAAAGCTCATATCACAAATCAATTTTAGTGTACTTGTAATCTACTATGATACCTAAAATGGCTGAAAAAAACTTTTATGACATGACATAAAAAACTCTTGTTGGCCTTATATCTGCAAAGGTTCTTTCATTAAGCTTTCAAAGATCATATTGATCAAGAAATAGTGGAATTACTCAGGACGACTGTTACGATTGATTTCAGAGTGAATAATTTAATGATGTTTAATTTACTCCGAAAACAATGCTGTCTACTTCTCATATTCAACCTTTTGTTGAACTTGGCCATATTATGGTTGCCTTTACAAGGGTAAAGCTAATGGTACTTAATGATTTGATATTGAATAATGATATTTGTTGACGTAAAGAAGGCCATAAGACCAGGTGGATGCAGCTAAACACCTTCGGGAAAGGGCCATGGAATAACACTAACAACTGCTTATCAACTATCAAGGGATTTCAGTTTGCAATTTCCAAATTCTTAGGGGTGACATACTTTTATTTAGGAGGTAAACCTACTGTTCGTGGATGATGAATGTTATACCGAAATCTTACCCTCATTTTTCATTTGTTGGTTTCAAATGAAATTAAGATGCTATCAGTTTGGTATTCTTCTAATTTTCATAAACAGGAAGTTTATCTACATTCTACCATGACTGATTTTATTCCAATGAAATCAAATTCATAACTTAAGACACATTTCATCCAAATTGATCAGCCTTGTGTATAGCATGACAGAGTCATAGTAGATTCATGTTTTATGGATTCTCTCAGCAAAAATGGATCTGGTTGGGATTGACATTTTTGAAACATTATTGCTTGTCATTTTGAAAGTACATACAAATTTTATACTACGTACTCTATGTTGGATTATGAATTTTGACTCAGTGCCATTCAGCATTAACGTTTTTGTCCTGCATACCTCTGAATATAGATCCAGTTGTTTGAGACAAGCAGCATGTATATGTCAGACCAATTCGCCAGTTAGATTCTGTCTGGACCATCAAGTTGTATGATCTCATAGATATATTCATTGCTTCTTTCATGCAGTGTCAGTTGAGCACAGCTCCATCCTAATGCTTTTGTTTTTTATGAAAATTGTTTCAACGTTTCAGCCTTACAACTGTGCAAAGAATATTTGCCAATTTTAAATGAAATCTTACTCGATACAAGGTTTTTTGTGTTCAAGTATTTTGTTTTGTGGATAAAAATTTCTGTTTCAGCATAGAAAAGATAAATGTTTCTTGCTGTGTAAATTATTTTTGTGTTTGTGTAATAGGAATCCTATGGAGTTGGAATGGAATGGAAACATGCTTAAAAGTCTGGCTGATTGGAGAAATATCAACTTGCACAATATCTCCGAACAGAGATCATCTGTCTAGTGAAAGTATTACAGGTAGGTTATAAGCCGCCTCCCACACACTTGTCTGAAGGCCATATGGACTGTCAGTACCTGTTTGTTGTACAACCAAGACTACACTGACTTCGTGGCCTGCTGACCTAAAGTGGGACTGGCCTGGACAAATGGGCATCCAATGCTAGTTAAATTAATAACTCTACTTTGTAAGTCTGCCTACAAATATTTGATGATATAGACCAGTCTCTCAGTTAATGATTTCCCTGATCACACATGGACATTGTCCTAGTTTCACACTTCTGGACCAAGCCTGGAGGAAGTGGCAGCAGACTATGTAGCCCTCCTATAACCGTCTTTGCCATATTAAGTGCCCTGCTTTAGTAATCTGATGAATCTCTAGACAAATCTGTGAGTAATCTTTATGAGCACCCTCTGCTAACACTGAAACTTTACATCACAATTTCTTTTTTCATATGTATATTTTTGACATAAAGCAGCTGCATAGGAGGGCATAATTGCCAAGTAAATATAATGGAAAATGTTTTTAGGTTCATCGATGTTTGAACAATTTATTAACCACTGTTCGATCTCTGAAAAAACGGAATCCTTGTATTTTAAGGTGCTTATTATGGCAAATATGGTATATGGGTTTAAGGGATGTCCCTGCAACTTGTAATGATGGTTAGATTGGGGTGTGGAAACTGTGGATGATCTGCTACAGTGCATTTGTTTTTTGTTCCTGAATAAATGAAATAGCAAGATCATACTTGTGTTGTCCAAAAAAAATAATATTTATTT